TTTTGTTATATCATTATATTTCGGAACATACTTTTAAGAGCTCTAGAATAATATATATTTATTTATTATTCTGTAGGTGCACGAATCAATAATTGATATGCCTCTTTTCAGTGGAGTCTCCGTAGCTGCTTCTCCTAGTAGTCTCTTCCTCCCAAGGAATCTACTAAACCCTTGCCTGGTCCAAGTAGACTCTTCCGGTCCCCCTGCACAGACTCTCAAGCAAAACCATACATTTAAAAAAGGAAAACTTTGTAACAACAAAATTAAAAATATTGTTGTATGGACCACTAATCTTGAAACAAGACAGACTTGGCTCACAAATAAAACTTTAAAATATCTATACTGCCCCAGTAACTACACAAACTATAGAATGAAGATATATTCAATAAAAGAAATTTATTAGTGCCAGTATTTTGATATGTGTTACCAATATAGCTGCTTTTGTTGAATTATAGACAAGTTTTGAATAATGGTTTTAACTAGTTATATAAATAAGTGTGATTTAATGTTTTGGGTTGAGTTTTGATAAGAATTCTCTAGAAAAAAGTTAGTTACATTGTAGAATCAAGTTGACTTTTTAAGATACAGAATAAAAATTGCTGGTATTTTGTTTACTTTTTAAAAAGAAGAATGGGTTAGTATCAGAATGGTCAAATAACCTCAAATATTTGTAATTTGTCAGTTATGGGGGTTTGGCTTATGACGGAGGTATAGCCTTGTAGCAATATATTTTTATTTTTAAATAGGCATTACTTTGTAGTAATATAGGTGTTTGCTAAGTATTTTAAAATATTTCATGAGATGATAGCATGATTAATTTTAAGTCATATAACTGTGGAGCTTGGTATCTCTACTTATATTGTTAAACACTTTTTAATTCGTATGTTATGTATTTATACATTCTCAACCATATTTAATATTATTTTATAGTTTTATCCTGCCTATTTTCAGAAAAAGTAAATATTTAGCAGTAAACTACTATCAGTAATAACATTTTTATTGTTTGTACCTATGTTGAAATAATCCATTTCTTTTTATACATTTATTAAATATGTGGAACTGGCTAAGTAGACATATCCAATACGTTAGGCAAACTGTAAATTTTAACACAAAATTACTAGTCAACTTGAAACCTGTCATAACCAAAAAGAAATCCTGAATTGAATGTTTATTTTCTAGAATTAGAATTCTTAATAATGATGGGCAAATTAAATGTATTTTTATTTATTGTAGATTTATTATATTTTTTATTATGTTATGTATTTTGTGTATATTAATTTAATCCTAAAAAATAAAATTTTAAAATGAATTTGGTGTTTTATTTATGACCTACAAATCTGTAAATTATAAATGTGAAAGCAAATATATTAAGGTAAATAAGTGTAATTTATACATAGTAATTATTTAATATTCTAAATTTCGACTATTACACAACCTATAAAAGCTAATTATCATATCATAATTATTTAATTTTCTCAACAATCTAGAAATTCCAATATTGTACAAATAGAAAGTTGTTCTTAAATAAAAAATAAATTCTAGCATTAGTTTATTAGCAAAGAAATATAGCATCCAAATTGAAGGGATTAAAGGAACTGTATATGATTTTCAAGAATAGGTCAAATGTGAATTTATTTCTCATACCAGAGATTTTCCTCCAGTTTTCCATTTCTAACTAAAAAATAGATACTGAACTTTGGAAATTTCCCAATTTAAACAGTTTTTTACTTTGATTCATTGAAAAATGTATAAGTAACAAAATTAATTTAAAAAAAACTGACGACTACAAAATACGAAGAGTGATTATTTTCTCACGAATCCCATCATCAGATCTTTACCAAATTTATATTAAGAAACCATCTCTGAGGAGCCCCCTTTCTAACAAAAAAATAATCAGAAATCGGACAACATAGTAAAGAATTGTCGCTGAATATCCATAAAAAAATATATTCCAATGAATTGAGAACCTACTTCTTTTTTGAAGTCTGTTAAAAATAGAAAATACATTGGAAATATTACCACAGTAAATGGGGTTTGCACACATGATAAAAACTAAACATATTTTTAATTATGTACTTCTATTTGAAAAAATAATGTACAGTAGAAAGAAATATGCTTTTCCATGACAAACGGGAAGAGAAAATGTAAAGTAAGTACAAGAAAAAATAGTTTTAGTTTATATAAAAGGGACAAACTATACCTATTTAAATACTGTTGCTTTAAACCACAAATCACAGATTTTTAATCGAGCACTACTAGAAAGGCAGTTAAATGAGTATTTTCCAGTGACTTACTGGAACCTTTCTTCATTTAAGCCATTCTATTTATTTTAAGAAATTATATTCATGTGTAAAACATTTTTTCTCTGAAACGACTGTCCTTGCTTCTGTCTATTAAAAAATATGAGCCGATGTCGAAAAAAGATAGGGATAGTGTTAACATTTAACCATAGTCGTAAAGGTTGAGCCTCAATTTCATTTTTTACTTTATTTGTAATTAATTTTCGAAAAAATATTACCAAATTAACTTCATTATTTTAAAAATCTCCCGTGATCAGCTGTGAAGCGACAGACTGTCAGTTGGAAAAGCGCCGTTGCCAGTTTTAATCTCAGTTAGTTATTTGTTCTTTAGCTAACGAGAGATTTTAACAATCGTTCTTGCAACCGGCTGTAAGACTCATATTTGTTATTTTAGTATTATGTATTAAGTTCCTAGGGCAATCTGTGTTACGTTGTAATCGTCACTCCCTTTTAATAGTTACAATATTTAATTAGTTCATTATTATTCCAATATATTCTAATACTTTTTGAGCGCCCCTCGTATTTGGAATTATAGATATTATGTTGAAACGGGAATTTGTCTCTGTCTAAGACATTCGATAGCCCAACCAATGATGCGCTCTCTCTAAAAATCAATAATTACGGTCAGATGTCGTGCGCACGCCTGGCTTACTATTCACCTTTTCACACATTTGGTCAGCTGTCGGCTTTTGAACTTTCTTTTTCAATCTAGCAGCGAGGTAAACCGGTTGGGTTTAGTGCTTTGTGTGTCCGAATAACTAAGGAACTGGGTCTGGAACATAATAAGGAACTGGGTCTGGAACATAATAAGGAACTGGGTCTGGAACATAATAAGGAACTGGGTCTGGAACATAATAAGGAACTGGGTCTGGAACATAATAAGGAACTGGATCTGGAATAAAATAAGGAATTGTCCTTAGTAATCTGGAACTGCAGAATCATTGTCAGCTAGTTGCCACTAGAGCTGCGGAATATCTTGGGCTGAGTTGCGTAAGGAACTGCAGTGTTTGAAGTCATCGTAGGCTCACCGCTCACCTACCATTAAGACAGGGACCAGACCAGTTCGACCGTTAAATCCGGAAACACAAGATAAGTGTCGGCCAGGACCACACACACAATTTTTGAGTCACTAGTCAATTTTAATTTTAAACTTATTGGTAAAAAGTAATCTGAAAAATGTGTTAAAATCAATTAATTTAATTTTCTTTTTTTTTATTATGTAATCAGTCAAATTTAAATTAAAGCCGATTAATTGTTTTGAAATTTTAGTCTTTCTTTTTTTTTACTTTCAACCGACAAGTTGATGACAAATTTGCTTTTATTTTACATCTAAAAGTATGGCGCCCAAAATTAATTTCATTGAATTCTTTTAAGTCTTTTTAATTAAAGACTTTGTCATTGACTTGAAGGTAAATTCTAAACGAATCCCACTGACCTATTTTGATCTGAGCTAGGCCTGAGGCTTGTAAGAATTCTTATTATAAGGATTTTTACAATGAGACCCAGGTAAAGGGTTAGAAATTTAACGTGGTGCAAAATATGTTTTAATAATATATCTTTGAAACGTAACATTTTGTCTTTATAAAACGTTTATTAATTTTAAAACGTAACATCTGGCCTGAGAAATAAGGGGACACTTATAGTTCGGCTGTCTCAACGGAATGTCGAATTTACTTGTATTGTGTTTAATTTTGGAAATAGATTAATTTGATGAAAATATCGTGTTTTCTTACATACATTTTATGATAGTCTGGATTGTACATCTAAATAGACAAAAACGATGTATGACAAATGAAATATAATATAATGTAATATTAGTGTTTGTTACACACGTCTTTATGGTTTCATTCATTATGAAATTGGCCCTAAATTATTAAGATCCTACCGAGAATACGCCATTTATAGCGAAAATGGTCAAAGCATGTTGTTTTAAGAACGATTGCCTCGAATCTAATTTCTTTTGTTATCAGTAATTTCAAATTTACAATTCAGTTACATCTACACAACATACAAAGCGAATACTTGCATTTCTGAAATGTTGGCGTCGCTAAGTCGGAAATAAACATGGCGCGGTTTTCAATATGATGGTCCATAAACAGTTTGCAATAATCATAAAAGTCCACGATATCATTGGACACGTCACAAAGTTGCATAAGCGATATAAATTTTATAGAAATATCGAGGTCGGATAATTAGAAGATGCATTAAACGTTTTATGTTGGCTATTATAGATTTATTTGACCTTGACATTTTGTTTTTTCATCTGATTGAATGGTATTTTAGATATAAAAGTCTTTCATTTAAAATAATTTATTTAATATTAAATCTGATAAATTAAATATTTATCAATTCTCATCAAAAATGTTCTATTTGCGCAAAAACAAATAAAATTGTGAGAGTCTTAGGTAATTTTAATTGTATTTCTCATAGTTATTCTCCAAGCTTTCTCAATAGGACAGTCAATGAAGATTCACTATTTTGAAACTTTCACATTAATTACCAAAGATCACAACTGTCAAACGTTCGTATATAGATACTAGTTTCAAACAAATCCTATGTGTTAGACGGCTCCCGTTACTTATCTATATTTCATGTGTATATCTGAGGTTCACACAACAGATGACGTGACTAGTGATAGAACATGACAGGTGACTTAACAAGTGACGTGACAGAAAGTTAACTGTTTTTGTTTTGTTTCAGGAGGATATCGAATACAGTCTGGAAAGCATCCACGATGTAGCAATCGCTAGCCTAGGGGATCTGTGCGTGACGAAGCAGTTCAACTCTCTAACGGTTCCTCTAAATACGCTGAGGTTCGAATCTATTAGACAGAAGGCGGATCTAGCGGCAACATTGCTGCAAGATCTCGGAGTTGCTCATCATAATGGTAAGACAAATTTACAGATATAGGATTTTTATAAAGAATTGGATAGAAGGAGAAAGGAATTGTTATTTCAGATGGAGAATTATCAGGGTAGTGAAGCGTCTGCCCATTTAAGTAACACCATGGTTGTACTCATGTTTGTATTAATTTATTAAAAATATTCAGTACTATAGTCTAGAGAATAAAGGGGTGGAATAATTTAATATATAGAATGCAGTACAGGTTTAAGAGGTAGACATTTTATTTATACCTCATCCATCAATGCTTATTTGTAGTTAAAATGAAAATTCTAATACATCTAATTGGTCTAATAAAAGGTTTTGTTTAAATTTGATCTGGTTTCCATGATTTTTAATGTAATAAACCTCTTCTTTTGACAGATAAGTCAGGCTATTATAATTTGACAGTTATATAAGAATGGCAGATACATTATAAAATATTGCAAATACAAGTGCGCGTAAACAACCTAGTGAACATAATTCATTATCTTTAGAAGGAAAAAATATGGTACTTAATGTATTTAATAATTCTCGAAGAGACTTTGTTTCACTTTCTGTGGATAAAATAGCCACTAAATGTGAGATATGTCCTGAAGTATCTAATAGAACAGTGTATAACAGTTATTGGAGAAGTCTCTCTTCCGAAAGAACCCTCGGGAAGAAACAAAAACTTTATTGTAACTTGGGTAAAGAATGTAATGGGACAAATGGTACATTCTTTTTTCTTTCGAAATAAAATTCCTACACTTAAAAAGTTACACTTACAAATAGAAAATAACCCTACTCTTCCTATATCATATTTTCATCTGCAAAAAATATTACATTTATTTTAAAGTCGAGGATAACTCTAGCCATATCCATTTTACTAAAAAAAAAAGACTATTAAATGAAATCATTTAGTTATTAAGAGATGTTTATGATAATACAATGTCGGCTATCGAATATTTTACAATACGTTCTTCTAATGTCCAAGTGGAAACTACAAAGAGTTAGCATTAGTGCGAGAAGGAATGGAATACTATGAACATAACCAGCCGGCCACGTGGGGATGCATCGCACCGTGTGCCTGTTCATATTACACTGCACAGAAGGCAACCTTCATTTTATTAGTTTCCTTATCGCACTAATGCTAACTCTTTAGCTTTCGCTTCGATGCTAGCCAAGCGTATTGGAAAATATTCAATAGCCGATACTGTATATAAATGCTACAATCAACAAGTGAAATAAATTTTTTTAGTTTAAATGGAGCCCTACTTCGAAAAAGGAGAAAAACTAAAACAGAAAATTATTATACTTGAATTTTAAAGGATGTTGCCACTGGAAAACTATTATCTAGGGCTTGGATGACAGCCATAGGACTCCCTCCTTGAATCGTGTCCATACGAAAGCATACGATCTTATTTAAATTAAAATATTAGAGGGTATTAACTAAAAAATATAAAAAATTATTATAAACTTACGTCAAAAGTGGCACCTACATTAAAAGAAGGGAAAACTGAAACATAAAATTGTTATACAGGAATTTTAAAAGCTTTCCCCGCCGGAAAAGTATTATCTGAGGCGGGGACCCTTGGATGACAACCATAGGAATCCCTCCTTGAATTCTCTTTTTACGAGTTTGTTTTACGTTTTGCTTTCCATATTAAATAAGTAAGCACTTAATACAACACAATAAATATCGCTGAAACAAAATTAATAGTAATAAACGGTATAAATTTCGTAGAAGAAAAAAACATCAAAAACTTATAACTTGTCAATACTGACACTTCACGCTTCGCTTGTCAAAAACTCCGTCTTCAACCAATGAACGTGCCGATGTCAGACGTGTCAAAATTCAAAACGATACTAGCACCATGTGGCTCTGTGTCTTGCCGCAGGGTAACTCAAAGCCATTTCTTGAATCCCAGTGACATTACTATAGGGCAGTGGTCGCCAACCTCTCAATGTGTTGAGCTACTTTGTTAATTTTGGAATAAACAGCGAGCTACCCACACAGAAGCCACGTAACGCAACGTAAATGAAATAATCCACAGTTAATTTATCATTATATGTATTTATTTTACTATTAAACTGGTAATACATAATACATAGGTACTAATAATAAACTAATAACAAAATAACTAATATTACTAGTACGTACTTGTTCATAGCTACATTCCTACCTACCAAACGAAGGTGTTTGAAAAATAAACACAAACTTTTATCCAGCACAACGGCATGTCACGTAAGATTTAAAAATAGTTCATAATAACAACAAAAAAGTAACGCACTATCATGAATATAAACATTGAAAAATAAAAAAGCACGTTCAATGAGAAGGCTGGCACTCAGACTCATCGATAATTTTTTTAATGTTTCTAGTATAATTTGATACGGCCATTCGAATACAATTATCCAAATGTTCATCTGTAAGTCGATTGCGATATTTGTTCTTAATAAACTTCATATTGGAAAAAGAAGATTCACACAAATAGGCTGAACTGAATAATGCTTTCACTTTCAAGGCAACACGGCATAGAACTGAATATTTGTCTTTACTTACAATAGGCCAGATACATTTGGTACTTGAGACTAACGATTTTAAGGCTAAATCATTTTGAAACTCAATTACTTCCATTTCTGTTGCAGCGATGTCTTCGCTAAATTTCTGCATAACACAAGTTGCAAACTGTTGGTTATCAATTTCCATAAAGGGTGAAACAACAAACTGCGCTACTAAAGCCATTTCGTTGAAATCCTTAAAGCGATTTTTGAAGTTATTCTTCAGGGTAGAAACTATTTCTACATGATATTTGCTGTCATAGGGTTCTAAAGGATTTTGAGATATGTTTTCTGAAAGAATAGGAAAATGCTTGTCATCGCTGTTAATTAGGTTTTGTTCCCAAAACTTCAGCTTTTTGATAAATGCTTTTATATCAGAAATCATTTCCGCTAGTTCTTTGTCTCTCCCCTGAAGCTGCAAATTAAGTTCGTTTAATTTCTCTGTAATGTCCACGAGAAAACCAAAATCTCTAAGCCAGATTGAATTTTCTAGTTCCGGAGTCGGTTCATCGCATTGTTTGAAAAATGTAACTATACCAGATAGGACATCATTAAAACGTTTCAGCACCCGTCCTCTACTTAACCATCGGACTTCAAAGTGAAGGAGTCGATCCCTGTATTGATAGTCAACTTCATCGGCCAAGGTTTTGAATAATCTTCTTTGTAACGCTTGAGCTCTAATCTTGTTCACAATTTTTACCACCAGTTTCATAACGTTGTTTAGTTTCAGGAAATTTTCACATAATTCTTGCTGATGGATAATGCAGTGGTAACAGAGAAATTGCAGAAAAGTTTCATCTTTACGACATAACGCCACCAGACCCTTATCACAACCCACCATAGCTGGAGCGCCATCGGTTGTCAAGCCTACCATTTTCGATATTGGAATTTTCTCAGAAGAAATAATATTTTTTAAATAAGAAAACAACTCCTGTCCAGTAGTGTGTCCTTTCAGTGGAATAAACTTCAAAAGATCTTTTTTAATCGTAAAATCACTAAAAACCATCTTGACGAACACGGCCATTTGTTCGTTAGTAATAAAAGGATAATACCTCAGACCAACATTATAAGAAATAGCAGCCGCTTTACATCTTGTTTGGTAAAAGCGCCTTTTTGTAAAATTTATACGTTTCTCTCTAACAAATTGAAAAACTATAGAATTATAATGCTCTGCCAGATTATTATCCATATTTGTAACAAGACTGTCTAAGTCTGTTCTTACAAATACAAATCACATTTTTTCATTGCAGGGACAATATTAACGTCTTTAGCCTTCTTATCAAATATAAAATATTTTATTTACTCACATTTTTCATGCTGTCCGAAAACATGCGAAGGTACATTCAATAAATCTTGATGTAAATTGTTTATCGTCAATTCATAATTAAGTTCTTCTAACAATCTGTATTTAAGGGCTTTTGTGATAGAAAATTTTAAAAGTTTGGAATTTTCTTCTAATTCTTTCCGTAAAGCAATAAGAACTTCTTTTTTGTTCTAAAATAAAATGGGGCATTTTAGTAAGATTATTTTTACCAATAGTAAATCTACCTACTACATATTTCGCGAAGGTTTGATGAAAAGTTTTGCAATAAATGATTCCTGCATTTAATTTTTTTAATAATTGGTTGAGGACCATATGGTTCAGTTTCCATTAGTTTGGAATAAACTGAACTATCGCCGTCACCAACTAGTTTCACGTATTTTAATCCATGAGTTGCGATACTTTGCTTAAAACTTTCAATGATAATGTCACTTTACATGGCAGTTGATGTACCAGTCCAGTTTTTAACACAATTGTGAAAAGGCACATTTATATTATTACAATGAAAGTTACAAAAACTGCAATATTTATTGTGGACTCCCAAATATAACAGTTTTCCTGTCCGGTATTCTATAATGCAAGCCAGAAAATAAGGAAAATATTTGTTTTTTTAAAGCCATCAATTACAAACATTGTAACACTTACTATAGTCTAAGAGACCCTGGGAGGTCGATCTTCACCCATCTGATAACCAGATGGGGCATATTTTTTATGAAATTTTATTGATTTATTAACACGCCTATGGAAACTTACCATTTGAAAAGTGTTCATGGCTATTTTTAATTAAATAAAGCAAGGCATTAGAATTCCCGTAGCCGCATTATAATAAATAATAATAATAATAAATAATAAATAAATTCTTTATTGCCCAACAGATATAACATCCAAAGATAGGACAAAATATAACATTAATATATTTTTAAGAGTAAATATTAATAGGTACTAAAATAAATAATAATAATAACAAAATATATATATAAAGCTAAAAAAAAGTGAAAATAAAAATTATAAATTAAATTGACTCTGCGCAAAACATGTTCAATTCAAGTTTTTAAAAAAAAAATGTATATTACAATTCAGAAATAAGTACTAAGATGGTAATAAATAATAATAACAAAATAAATATAAAGCTTAAAGTAAAAATTTAAATTAAAAATTGAGAGTGACTATGCGCAAAACATGTGCAAGTTTTTCAAAAAATATATCACAATTCAAACATAAAATATTAACATTTTGGCACATAGTATATATTGGTGATTTCATTAGCAGGTTAGTCCTGGGAATAGGAAGAGAAAACGTGTTGAATGTCCGTGCATTTTGTCGTGTTACTAAAAAGTAAAGTCCTTCGAGTAGAATAGAACAATCAATTATATTATGAATTATTTTATAAATTGTAGAAATTGACATTAATTTTCTTCTATTTTCAAGGGATTGTACATTATATCCATTACGCAACACATTTTCATCAAATCCGTGGGGGGGATAGATACCCCTAACCTTGTAATTTAAAAACTTTAAAAATTTGCGTTGCACCCTTTCAATGCTGTTCTTCTGCAACTCTGTCTTCGGATACCAAATCAAAGAAGCATATTCCAACTTGGAACGAACTAATGAAAAGTACAGTGACCTTAAGGCAACTTCAGTTCTAAACTTTTGACAATTGCGAAATAAAAATCCTAACATTTTATTTGCAGATTTAGTAATAGTATTAACATGTACACTAAAAGTTAGCTCCGAATCAAATATAACACCTAGATCTTTAGTTTGATCACACCTGACTAGTTCTTCATTATTAATTAATAATTGGAACGTTTACACCATACTCCATCAGCAATCACAGTAATATAAGGTATTCAATTTTAATCTATTTCCCCTAGATTTCTAGCTAATTCTGCTTCTTTCTTAGCAGCTTCTTTCATAACTTTAAAACTTGCTAATAAAATGATATCCGATGTTTTTTTGTATATCTTGTTATACAATTTTTCTGTCACACAGGGCATGTTTATAGCAGCTGTCAATTCCTCTAAAGCAGAAAATCCAATTCCAGTTGAAATAGTTCCTAAAGTTACAGCTGAATTAACGTCAATCATTTTCGCTTTAGATGAATTTTTTTGTGGATTTTCTAAATATAATTCTTGTATAATGTTACACATTTTATATTTTATGGTAATCGTAGACATAAAACCTTTTCTATTTTCTTGAATAAGATCCTGTTGAAAAAAATGTTTATATCTATATTCATTTTATAGTATATAGGTCAGACGCAGAGCATAGGAGATCAACTCTCGTTCATGTAACATTAACTTTACAACTTCGTTACACGAATTCGAGAGAAAGAGAGAAAAAAAGCTTCGGTTTGTTAATTCCCGAAAATTAGATCGATATTCCATTTGCTACGATCTCATTTTTAAAAATTCGCTCTCTTTTATATATGTATATAAAAATATATTTATTTTTTTGTTCGGAGTCCAATCGAGGCGTTCATCCGTGAAAAATCGAGTTAAGACTCCGGAAAAAATTGCTAAAAAAGAATGAATAAAGATGACATCTTATTATATCACGTGTAACAGTGTAAAGGTAAAATTGAGAAATTTAGGGTGGTATATAATAAAGGCGAGGACGGTCAAAGAAAATGCTTTTTTATTGGTGCAATACGAATAGAGTAGGTAGTTATTTTAAGGAGTATTTTTGCTATTATAATAATAATAATGTGTTTATTAGCAAAAAAAAAAATACAGAAATTTACAACTAAGAGTCAATAATAATTTTCTAACAAACAAAAGACAAAGCCACAGAAGGAGAATTTTAAAAATTCTACTTGTGCGTGGCACGAAATAATAATGGTAATTAATTACGTAAATATAAATAAATCGGTATAAATAAATGTCTAAATCGGTATACATGTCTAATTCGGTATATGTCTAAAACGGTATATATGTCTATGTCTAAATCGGTATACATGTCTAAATCTATAAATATATGTATATGTCTAAATCGGTATATCAGTTTAAATTGATAGTGTAAATTGATACACTAACTTTAGACCAGTATGTAAGTAAAATATATATATAAGAGTAAATAATAAATAATTTGACTCGGTATGTAAGTATTATTTTGTTTATACACATAATTTTTTGAATATACTTTTATTTTCTTTGGATTAATTTATTTTTGATTTATTATGTTCTCAATATTTGACCTGGATTGACATAAAATCCATTTTTTAAGATTCTTTTTAAAAGAATAAAGACTTTTCTCTTTTTGTATTTCGATAGGAATGAAATTATAAATTCGAGGAGCCAAATATGAAGAAGATCTACAGCCTATTAATTTGTTTTTTCGGGGTGAGTAATATTTATTTGCTTTATTTCTAGTTTGGTGCAGATGTCTGGTTTTATCGAGTTTAGTCTTCCCCTTATATATATTTATCGCTATTTTCCAAAAATAAATTTGCCTAAGGTCAAATACCTTTTGTTCTGAAAATTTCTCGATTTGTTGTGGATTATCTTTAATATCCATTTTTTGTATTATATTTAGATTTTTTAGATAAATATTATAAACGCCACCCCACCCTAGTATACCATAACTCAGTTGAGATTGAACTAAAGAGAAATAAAGAGTGCGCAAGTGTTTTTTGTCTAAAATGTCTCTTAAATATTTAAATCTAGATAATAAACTTCTAATTTTGTTTACAACATTTTTTATTTGTAGATCCCATTTGAAATGCTGATCGATGATAATGCCTAAATATTTTATATTTTCAACTTGTGGAATGGTTATGTTGTCAACATTTAAGGTTCCGAAGTGCGGTAGGTTATTATTGTAAGACGTGAAAGTAATAAATTTAGTTTTTTTATAATTAACTGTTAATGTATTTAATTGAAACCATTTAGTTATTGTTTTAAATTCCATTTCGGCTTGTTCTTTAAGCTTACTCCATGAATTATCACTATAGACGATAGCAGTATCGTCAGCAAAACTGATCACTTTACCTTTTAATTCAAGTTCTAAAAGGCTATTTATGTATAGAGAAAAGAGTAAAGGACCAAGTACAGTACCTTGAGGTACACCATAGTTAATGGATTTTAGGGAAATTACAGTATTATCTAATTGAACAGACTGAAATCTGTTAGTTAGATATGATTTTAATAAATCATAGATTTTTCCTCGTAGACCATATGATTCTAATTTTTGTAAGTGTTTTATGACAAACTGTATCAAATGCCTTTGCTAAATCTATAAAAATACAAAGTGTAGGCTTTTTTTCATCCAAAGCGTCGTAGATACAGTTCGTCAGATCACTTATGGCGTCTTCTGTTGATTTGCCACATCTAAAACCATACTGTCTCATAGAGAGCACTTTAAATTTTTCTAAAAATGAAACTATTCTATTTTTAAGTATTTTTTCAATAATCTTTGATATATTAGAAATTAGAGATATTGGTCTGTAATTAATCATTTGGTCTTTTTCGCCTCCTTTATAAAGTGGTTTAAGTACGCCAATTTTAAGAACATCTGGAAATGACCCTGATTCTAGAACCACATTAATTAAATGTGTAAGAGTAACAATATTTATTTTAATTTTTTTTTTAATTTCACTTCTAATTTGATCTTGATGATACTCGTTAATAATCCACTGCCGTAAATCTTGGTTGAGTAGCAAAGATCTTAGATTTTAGATATCCCCACAAAAAAATCTAACGGAGAAAAATCTGGAGATCTTGGTGGCTATTCAATAGCAAAATTCTATAATATACATCACTCCAGTAACGACAGTTGTGACGATTTACAGTTCCATTGAAAAAAAAGAGTACTCGTGGAAAAAAAACAAATGTTGAATACTAAATGTGGATCTTTATTTGCTCGGCTGCTAATATCTTCACTGAATTGCAGTCGTCTATCGAAGTTAGCATTTAAGATTTAAGATTTAGCACCTTGTTCAAGGGGTTAAAGATAGAGGTTTGGACATAAGTCTAAAAGGTTGACAAATAAATTGGCATGTCTAAGCGATTTTTTTAATGGCATTAGGAACCCTAAACAGTCTCGTTTCCGTTGGTCCACCCTATATATTTATATCAGCTGATACATTACATATTTTAATAAAACTTTAAATATTATCTAAAATAACTCAATTAATCATATTTTCGATGAAGTACATCGAATTGACATTATTAAGTGATTTTCTCTCACTTATCTTAATAATCTTACAATGTTCCGTGATTTAGAGTTCAAAGATCTCAATCATTCAAATTATGAATTTTATTAATTTCAAGAATACATTGGTTATTTTCAGATGTTGACATTTTACTTTACCTAGAATAAAACAAAAATGCTTATGGTATGGAATAATTCATTGTTTAACTGATATGTATCATCGATAAGTAATCCTTTAAATATTTCCATTTGATCTATTGACGTGAACAACGACGTTAATGAAATAAACAATTTATATCGTTTTCTCTTTGATCAAATATTTACACTTAAAAATATTGAAAATCCACGTTCGACATAATATACACGGTGATTCAGAATATCTTGAAGTAGATTTTGTTTTTGATAACACGCAGAAACAGATCGATTTTTATTTCAAGGGGGACGCCTTTCTATAATATCCTTAACTGTCATATGTCATTCCTCTCCCCTATGTCAATCTACCCTGTAACGTGCATTTTTAGCCGCCTAAATAACTAAGGAAAAATTTGACTTACCTTGTTTAAATATACGAAAAAAAAGGTAAAACGTTATTTATTGTTGATAAGCTTTTAAAGCCATTATTTTGTCGTAAACTACTATACGTTTTGTTAACCTGCAGATATCAGTATTATAATTTAATTCATCTCATCACAGGACAGGAGTATAGTATCTGAAATTGTACGTTTTATTGGTTTTTACCTAATTGGTTTGTTTCAATGTGTTAGATTTTTCTAAAAACAGTCTCGTTGTGAATTTACTTATATATAATGTATTATAACCTTACCCCTAAGTAATTAATTATTAACGATGCCATTTATATCGAATTTGTTTACTTTTTGTTCAGAGTAATTATTTTGAATCAATGTTATTGCCAGACTTATATTGCTTATATTTTGTTAGGTTAGTTATATTTGACGTTAAATGTCAAGTGGAAGCAACACGATAGTTGTCAGAGTCGTGGCATCGAATGTCATTCACTCTGGTTCCAAGTTCCGGGTAATGGAAGCTGTACGAGGTGCCTGTCAGATTAAAACAAGAAAACCGTCAATTCCGAAGCAGAAGCGGATGATTAAAACGCACCTATTAAAAATATTGCGCCAAGATGAAGGCAACACGTAATAAGGGTTCAAAATGGCGGAGTTTTCTATCTCCCTTTAAAAGGCACTCAGAAAGCTGCGCAGTGCGACCATTTTCCGTATAGTAAAAGAAAATCAAAGTATGTGTTGACAGGTGAAGAAGACAGACAACTCCAAGTTTTGTTAAGGAGTGAAATCTTAGAACATATATAATCAAGAAGGAGCATGCCATGTCCGCGTTAATCTAATCGATCTGACTGAAGTGGTAGCCATGTTATACTATGGATGACTCATCATCATCATCATCATATTATAAATAGTTTCTAAAATTGGTTTATAATTTTAGTGATTAAAATTTGTTAATAATTTGGATGTTTTATGTGTTAATTTAAACTTTTATCAAGCGTATGTTTTGTAGATATTTTTAAAAAGTTAGTGTTTTAGTATTTATTTAGTATTAAATTTAAAATTTTTCAACAAACAAGACAATATGGTCAGTTGTTCGTCTTGCGGATATAGCAGCACAACTAAAAGTAGAAAGAAATAATCTACATTTCATAAGCAAGTATTTTGTTCTTTCAATTTTCAACCACATTAAAGATTTTTAAAATTTTTAATATTTTAAATTTGCAAACAAACATGGTAAGTGCGTCTGTTATCAACTGTGCTCATAGGCGTAGTCTCATGGTTTTTAGGGTATACATACTTTTATTTAACACGTTTACTGCCAGAGGACGCTTTAAAGCGTCCGCGTTACCTGCGCATGAGTACTGCTGGCGCTTTAAAGTTCCCACAACTACCTGTTGGTAAATGCGTAGTAAGATATTCTGTTCGGCACGTACGTTAACAAGTCTCTGCCGGCACCTGGCTAAAGTATTTGTCAACATATTTTTGCGCGCGGTTCACACAAT